GGTCCAAGATCTCGAGAAAGAGACCAGCGGCTACTTTGCGAAAGGACTTGTCGAAATTGCACGCGGCCCTCTAGTATCCGACTGCTACAACCTGATGGAAGCGATGAAGGGCATGGGCACAAAGGAGGTCATCTTGGACGACATCCTGATCGGCCGAAGCAACGCCGACATCAACGCCATCAAGCAAAAGTACCAAGAACTATTCCAACGGCCACTACAGAAAGACCTCCAAGGCGACCTCAGTGCCGGAACCGAACAAATGTACGACATGATCATCTCGGCCCGCCGCGCAGAAGACTCATACCCGGTCAACCCCCAAGAAATTGAGCAGGCTGTCACGGATCTCCAAGCTGGTATGGGTGGCTTTGCTAGCAAGAACGTTCCTCAAGTGTGCCAGATCCTCACCAGCAAAAACGACGCGCAGCTCAAGGCCATGGCAAACTCTTACCAACAGCGCTTCCACAAGTCCCTCGACAGCGTGATCAAGTCCGCTTTCTCAGGCCACATGGAAGATGCACTCCGCTTACTTATCCACCGTGCCACCAACCGACCTGAGGCCGAGGCCGTTCGTCTAGAAGAATCTATGGCTGGCCTTGGTACAAAGGACGAGATCCTCGTACAACGCGTCGTCCGCTGCCACTGGGACAAGAACTTTATGAACGCCGTCAGCAACGCGTACAAGCAGGTCTACAAGAAGGACTTGGTCAAGAGGATAGAGGGAGAGACGCGCGGCGATTACGAGAAGCTCATGGTTGCTTGTGTGAAGCCCTGAGATGTTGCAGATATACGTGGGAGCGTTGGGTCTGATTACATGATATCCTTTTCTTCTCTTTCTTGTTGCTTCGGAGAGGTGATGGGTGTTGCGAGTATCTTTTCACATGGAGTTTCCCTTCACGGGATCTGAGAATGTCGAGAGACGAATAGATCTATTTTCTAATGCACACATTAAGCCGAGTATCCTCCGATGACCTTCTGAGACAAAAGCATTCCACTGCTATTACTTCAACGTATCCCCACAAGATGTGAAACTTTGCCGTTCACAGCCGAATTAAGACACAAAAGATTTCCGACACATCCTGGCCTCGGCCTCATCAGGAGAGTTTGGCTTCTCTCGTTCTCGCGTCAGTTTCCTCATTTCTTCCCATCGTCCTGCCTTTCCTCCTTCTTCTGCTCTTCGCCCTCCTTCGCGTTCTGTTTATCGACGATCGTAGGTGTCCTCACACATTCTTCGTGTCCGCATGGCTCTTTCTCTGGTACAATCCGACCCTGATTCTGGCTGTAGCTGCAAGCATCTTGTTCGGGTCCTTTGCAGTCGACGGCGAGGTAGTTGTACTCTTTTGACAAGACTGCCATGATGGCGCAAGTTGTATTCGAGTGTGACTTGGCTAGATTTCTCGATATGAATCCAGGGTTCTCGGCGAGAGAGAGAGAGAGAGAGAGAGAGTGTGTGTGTGTGTGTGTTGCTGTCCCCGAAACTGTGGGTGTCGCAGTTGGTGATGGCTGCTGTGTCTTATCGATCGAATCGATGATATATTGAGATCTCTGAAAGTATGTCTTTATTGTAGAAAGATAAGCTTGATAGTATCTCAGCATTTATACCCCCGAAATGTTAAGTGAGCCACATGTTGGAGAAGTCTTGTAAGTGTAAGTTAGTCACCTTATGACATGTGTGAAGTATGTGAGCATTCATACGGACTCATGCATTCAACGGTCTGAGCGTTTGCATCGAGTTATACATTGGCGAGGCTATTTCAACCACGGGGCGACCAGACGTTCGCCTAGGAAGAACTGAGATATAAACTCTTGATGTTCCTTTCAACTTCATTTCCTCCGAAAGCTGCCCACTCGTATTCGCATCAACACACCGTTACAAAGGGCTTTCACTACTTCTGATCTCCATGTCCCTCGATGTCTTGTTGACCTTTCCTCTTCTCGTCCGCTATACGAGCCGCTTCGTACATGCCCCACGACCAACCGCACATTGAGCATTTACTCGCGCCGGCAACGAGCCAGACGCCCGCGTTCATACCGCAGGGACATATGTATAGACCTGGATTTGGGGGCATCTTCGGGGAGACGGACGATCACTGAGGTAATGTAGTGCGTGTGGATATGTTGGGTAGATGCGCTAGAGGTATTTTAGGGCTTGGTGGGTTGCAAGAGTTAAGTGCGAGCGATTTCAGCAAGTTAATCCTGTATTTGAGGAATTAAAGATGTGATCATAAACAGCTCCCGCAAGAACAAGTGGAGAACTTTATTCTGGCGGTGTTTGTTCATGCTGCGCGCTACGTGTTCGTTGCCAGCAACGAAAGGCTGCACGCTGTATTGCTCACATTCCCAATACGTGTTGTCACGGATAGTCCTATGAGCTACGTAGCATCCGATAAACACGATAGTCGTATATCCTATCTGTAATATGGTGGTGGTTGCTCCGCCACAGGCTCACTATCCCGGAGCATTTCCTCCAATATAAAGCTCTCGTCCGAGCCGCATACTGGCGGCATCTCTTCCGGCGGCCCAAGATGCCCACCAGGTCTTGTCATAGGCTCAATAACCACATTATCGACATCAATCTCATGCTCCGACTCCTTTCCCGCGCATTCGAGCAAGAGGTCGTACTTGACGTCATATTGAAGCGCGACACCGTATGTTTTGAATGTGGGAGGCACAATCTTGTTGATCTCAAAACCCTCCAAGGTGGTATCCAAAGTGAGTTCTATTCCAGGTTTACTGTATCGCTGATTGAAGAGGTCGAACTTTTCGACGCTCTCTTTCCGTATTTCTCCATTTGCTGCAGATGCCAGCGGGACTCGGAAGTTGATGTGTGTCATTGCTTGCGCGCGGATGCCACGCAGATACACGGGTGCTGGATGTGTATCGCCGTCACTTAGTGTTGCTTGTAGTGATAGCTTGATCGTGCTGGCAGCACCAACGCGATACTCTGGGGGTGCACTGAGTACTAACAGCGAAGTCGAAGATGTCTCCTCTTCCTTAGCACCGCCTCGTAGGCCCGACTTGAGCCGTCGCAGCGAGTTACGCCGCTCCTTAGATGGATCTGGAGTTGATGGTCTCGATCTACGCTCAAAACGTATTGGTGGTGCTGGTACAAGAGCAGCTGTAGGCGATAGACCTTGCTCCGGAACCGACGGGCTAAAGCGGAGTTGCTGCACAACAACGGGACTAAGTGTGAATGAAGCTTGCTCCGTGACGAACTGTGCTCTCAGAAAGTATTCGTTACATATCGTGCTCTCGTTCCACCATAGCGACGGTGGAAGAGGATGTCCGCTCTCGTGCTCAAAAAGAGGATCTGGTCGGAATGGCGCATCATTCTGCAGCTTCGTAGCATTTGGTACTGCTTCTGGAAATCGAAATTCGAAGGGGTACTCTACCCGCGAAGGGGGACAGGTCGCGCTAGGCGTTGCCCTCCTCGATAACGTTTGCTCCTGGCAAAACAACTCAACTTCGGAGACATGCTGGTTTGCAGGATTGCGCTCGCTCGCGATGCGACAGGTCGTTTTGCCAATAAAGCTTATGGTGACGTATTTGACTCTGGTTTGTGATTTGACGTGGACAACGCCCTTCACCAGGTCGTTATTGGTGTGGATACTTCGACGGCTCGATCTCGTGAACGCGATGGAAATTGGCCCATCCGGGGTATTTTGGCGGTCTGGATGATGGTGATCGCTATAGAAATGTGGTTGAGCAACGTAACTGTAGAGGAGACGAGGCTGTGTTGCTCGACTCGCTAGCGTATTTGCCATGCAGTCTCGAGAGTCAGTTCGATGGCAATGTTGATGCTGAGGAAGCCAGGAGCAACGTATAGGTCAGCTAACACATGTGAGGTTTCTTGTGCTTGGCGGGTCACGCGTCGCGTGGGAGTTTTCTTACAAGAAAGAACATTGTAAGGTCACCAAGCAGAGTGGTAAGATACCCCGCTTCTGTATTACTCAACCTACATGGCTGACGAAAGCCAATGCGCCTCTCGTCCAGGCTCTTCCGGACCGTGCCCGGAGTCACCTGACTATCGAGAGCAATGGATACTGACTAGGTACGGCTACATTGTCGGCTTGACAGCGTCTGAGTCTTCCAAGGTTCTTTCTGACCCGCGGGCATGAGATACCGCCAACCTCCAAACGGCACCGACTCCTGAAGATCGCAGCTTTGCCATGAAAGCACAGATAGCGGCATTGCTGAAATGATGCTTGAGTGATGGATACGCGCAGATAACAAGAGGGTTGGCGCTGTGGTTGATCGAAGCTTGGAGCACCTGCTAGGCCCGATGCGGATAGCATCGCCCCGTCTTTGATCCGCTTGTACCGGCTTGGAACCTCGCGCTTGACCGAGACCGCAAACAACTGCAAGGACTCACGACAGTTATCAACCTGTGGACTTCAAATCACCTAAACACACTAGCGCTGAAACGAATCTTCTTTCACCTCACAACACAGACGCTATGCATCGTTCACCCCACGACACAGACGCCATCTGCATGCATCCTCAATGTCAGAGAGCAGACAGGGTCGACCCTGTGGACAGGTCTTCGGCTTTGTTTTTGAATAAAATGGTTATGAGAAAGCTACAAAGAGAGTTAGAAGCGGATCCAGAAGTAGATCTGGCATCCAAAATCCCCTCTTCGTATGCACGTCGGCTTGCTGGTCGAAAGTCCGATGGTTCGTGGGCTTCGCATCACTATGCTTTAGTTGTAAAACTAAAGCTAACGCCTTGCAGCTCCATCTTGGGATGAGCCACATCCACAGCCTCGCAAGATAGACACTTCGCCATTTCCTGACGATGCTCGACAATTTCTCTATAGTCATACCTCAGCCACAGTCCTGTTCCCGTTCTCTGAATCCCTCCGAGGCCTTATTGAAAGCGACCACGACGAATCGTCCCTTGCCCACAGTATCCGCAAATTGGTTGAACAGAGCGAAGTTATCTGGACGCCACCGTTGGGCAAACACAGCATCGTCCTCAAGTGCAGTCCTGGTATTGCTCTCAAGATGATAATGAAGATGGACGACTTGACTGAATACACAACCCTGCAATACCTTGAGAAACACAAACCCGCTATTCCTGCACCAAGACCACTCGGTCTTGCACGCCTTGGTGACTGCTTCCTCGTCTTTATGACTCTCATGCCTGGCACGACACTCGAAGCAGTCTGGCCAAAATTAGATGACTCCCTTAAGCGCTCAGTCCAAGCGCAGCTGAACGATATATTCATCGAGGTGCGGTCTTTGACCCGTCCCGACGATATGCCACTTGGAGGTGTGGCAGGAGAAGGTTGCCAAGATGCGAGGAGAAATGTTCGCCGCACAACCGACCCTATTTGGACTACGGAAGATTTCGACGACTGGCAATTCTCCAACCCCCATTATGGAAGTCCAATTTACATCAAATTCCTCCGAAGTCTTTGCCCGCCCCTATCACAGAAGCATGTTCTCAGCCACAATGATCTTCGGCCTGCAAATATTATAGTAAAGCTTGAAGAAGGGCAGTGTCGCGTGACCGGCATCATTGACTGGGAATACGCCGGCTTCTATCCAGAGTACTACGAGTCTACCAAGGTGACGAATTGTCTGGCCACGAACGAGGATAGTGATTGGTACTTGTTCATTCCTGAATGCGTCTCTCCGCTTCGGAACGCGCAGAAATGGTTGCTAGACGCTCGCTGGTATAGTCATATAGCGTAGATTAGCAAATCACACATATTTTGGTTAGGCGCGGGCTCAAACTTGAAATATCCGCTAGGCCCAATATGGATGACACCGCCCAGTCCTTGATCCGCTTGTGCCGCCCGCCGGCTTGTAACCTCGCAGATGACCACGACTGCAAGCACATGCGAACAGCTACGACAACTTTGCGAATTCGGCACTGCGGGTTGGCTACAAGTTCCCATGATCACGGTCCGCGGAGGATGACAACAAATGCCCTCTCACGCTGCCCCGCAAGTCTAGGCTGCCACCCGAAGGACAGCCTGGGGCATCCTCCTCGCCCTTTTCGATGACGACGAATTGTCCCGCGAAATTATCAGCCGGCATAACGCTCCTGCAATCTGGAGCCGCACAGTAGCCTTGGAGGTCACAGAAATGGGCTGCAGGGCCTTATTCTGACGACGTGTCTCTTGCAGACGAGGAAAGAATCATGTCTTCTCGCCCATTGAAGCACTAAGAGAAGGCAGAGAGCAGAGACCGAGCAGTGTGGCATGGCTGTGCCGACATGTGCAAAGTTCTTGGCGGCGCTGCCTGCGAAATAGGGCCCTCTGCCCACCCTACGAGCATGCGCGCGCACGTAAGCGCAACACGAGTCCGCCTCTCGTCCTCTGTTTTGCGCAACTGAGCAGAAAGGTAAGAAAGAGACACCCAAGCGTCCATGGGGAGATTTGACTATCATTCTTGTCGACGCGGACTCGTTTTCAAGCTCGAATGCGCAGGCGGAGATAGCATTCGCGCAGGCTTACATTCGATAACGCCGCCTTTTAGCACGGGGCGTTCCTGCGTGTCATCCCTGGTCCCAATTCACGGAGCAGATTGCAGTGGCGAACCGGCGGTCGCAGCAGAGGACTCGGCAATCGCGAAGGAACGATATGCTTGACTGTGCCACCCGCGATGTCTCACCTCCTTATTCCAACGTGCGCCCAACTTGCTGGAGTACGCCTTGGGTATTATCTTGTGTTACGGAAGGTGATATCGGGTGCTGTTGTAGACCAAACTCAACTCCTCAGGCGACGGAAGTGTAAAGTGGGCGCAGCTCACATGCTGACAGGCGTTTCAATGAAGGCTTCATCACCGGCGAAGGTTGAGGTCAAGACCACGAGCAGGACGTTCATGTTGAATCAGAGTAAAAAGCACATTGGAATTATGGGAAACAACAGCTAACCGGACATGCTACGCTTGAACGAATCAGGATACCGTCGCTATGCTTGAAGCCATGAACACCGCACTCGATTAAGAAGGTCAGATAAAGAGACTTATGCTGGGTATATGACAATGGCGTAGATGCGAAACTAGACCATGGGAAAGGACAAATCGAGAACTTGGACAAGAAAGACACCAGAACGCTCGCAAACCCCCTTCCCCCACACCGGAATCGTTATCCAATCAATGAAGTCTGACATGGTTAGCTTTGTCATGTGATATACATGCTGCGAGCACTTGCCCCCGTTTACTTTCCCGTGGTCCGCCCATCACCCTCTACTTCTGTTGACTATCGTAGACGCTGCAGCATTGACACCGCCAGTGGTTGCTGCAAAATGCACAGCCCGGGTCCCGAGCAACGCTATTCTCCCCATAACATTGGCAACACTGCCATCGCAATATGGGGTTATGCGGATTCTCGGTGTAGCGACCGCCGTCGCCCACTGGAAAGCGTGTGTTGAGATTCGTTGTTGGAATGTCTTGATGGCTGCCCGAGAGCCTAGCCGTACTAGAGTGAGTGGCAGAGGTCGCAGCATGATAGTGCGGAGCCAAGGCTGGGGCAGCGGAGCCATAGTTGTAGTACTCTGTTGCGGGCGGGCAACCACTGCAGAGATAGTGGTTGCAGTTGGTGCATGCTGAGACGAAATTCGTGTTGTGAGGGCCATCTCGGCAATTGCAGCAGAAGACATGCATCTTGTTGCGAAGCAGCGGTGATTGTTGGAGGATTTAGGAAAGTACGATTGTTGTAGCTGACAATAAATTGTCTTGTGGAAGTATGAGATGTTTGAGAATGTTGCGACGCTATGAGCTTATGAGAACAAGAGAAGACGGCCTTCAATGGCATTTTATCTTGCTACTTAGGTATCCCGAGTCCCTCGAAGGACGCTCCGCTATGACATCTCTCCTTCTGGCGGAGACTGAGCCACGCTCGCCCCTTTGTGCCCTACAGTTAGCTTCCTCATCCTCCCCTCGTGCCACTCGTGATTTTGCTTGCAGCACTCATTTTGGTGCCTCATGTTCGCCTGGAAGCTAGGACAGGTCCTCCGAAACTGACCCACTGGCTCCACAATCAGCGGTCAACGTACGTCAGAAAGCTCGCTCATGACCATAACTAAGGAAGAGTGTCGTGAGAGAATACAACGGCGGCGCTCCATGATGACATTAGGGAAGTAACAAGGCAGGCCAGGAAAGAAGCCGGTCGGAGACCGGAAGAAAGGGCACGACGGAGCGGAACTAGCGGTGGCTGTGCGAGAAGGCAGTAGGCAAACTGAGGCGGCATATTGGGCTCCACTGCGGATGTTGAAGATGTTGTTCCAGCCTCGTGCCATCAGTCCTCAGGCTTTTCTGGGCGCCAAGAGAGGTCCCTCTTCCTGCCTCGCGTGTGCTGCAATGACGCGGCCCCGTCAGCCACTTCGACGAAAAAGCAAAAAAGAAAGAGCCCTGGCTGGAACCATTAGGCAGAACTCAAGAAAAAGCGAGGATATTTGTCCAATCATACGTTTTATCCAAACCGCAATTTTTTAATTCGTTGCTGCAGTCGACTTTGTATATGCAAAGAAGCCTGTGAATCTCCCGCTGAGGGTGTCGTGCTCCATGCTGAAACGAACGTTCCTGCATTCTTTCTGCAGTAGAGCCTGGGATGAAGAGCCGAATCTGGTCTGCATGCTGCAGTTCGCACGTCTGCTCACCACGCGGTTTCCGCTTCGAGCGATGGAGGCACATCGCTCCAACGTTGTTGCAGGACGATGCATACGGCCATGATAGGAAAGTGGCAAGGTTGTTATGAGAGTGAAGCAAGCAATGATGAGGAGAATTCTATTGAGTAGCGAATTGTAAATCCAAGTAAACTCCAAAACCAAGATCCGTAAAGCGAATGTGCCGGGTGGTATGTGTCATGCTTGTAGCATACCACACCATGTTGTTGCAAGAACGAACAGCGCCATGTAAGCTATGCTTTGTCGAAATGCTCCAAATGTCCAACAAGTCTACAAATGTGGTATAGTGATTGAGAAAGCAGAGAAAGCGATGAGTAACGAGAGATCCCAATAAATAGCCCAAAGAAAGAATATCCAGGAGAAGAGAGTGCCGCATAAGTATGAGCAGGAGCAGCATCAGAAGTGACTCTTCGTGATGATGTTGTCGTTGATGATGTTTGTCGCATGCGGTGACGGAATACAAAGGTGTACGAATCCGCAATCGCATTTAGTACGTTTCTTCGACTCTGCATGAACCGCATATCTGATGGTTACAGCTCACACAGATGTTTTGCCAGACACTGATAGGTCCATCGGAACAGTTTGAGCAGAACCACACTTTTTCTCCATCCGTGGGAGCGGAATCATGATTGTACTGCCCGTTGACATCGGAGAGGCTGCTTGGAGGCGAAGTAGAATCTCCGCCGAATAGGGGACCAATGGGAAGCGCAATGGCACCGGTATGAAGCACAGAAGTATGGCCAGCGTCGGTCAGGGAAGATGGGGTGGCGTCATGGCGAACCGGTGTTGCTTGGTGACATTGGCCAGATATCGAAGAGCCGTGAAGATCATGCTTATGGAGATGGCGATGGGGAAGGGAGGTGTTGACCATGATGTAGATATAGTAGTGATTTTGGTAGGCAAAGAGAAGTTGATAGAGCGAGATATAGTGGTAGTTCTTGAGAGCTCGAGGCTTGAGGGCTTGAGTGGGTTGTGTTTTGAAGCGTTGAGAAGGCGTTTATGTGTTTTTAAACAGTTGCGAGACCAAAGCTATGCTGCTGCTTCGCCATCTTCCTCCGGAGGCGCTGCGCACCGCACTGATAGTCCTTTGAGACATCAGAATATGCTCGAGCGCAGATAGGGTGGCGGCCGATATGAGGCATACAGGCCTCAAGGGATACAATGAAGCAAATCCAGTCGTGAGGTGGGGGATGATGAAGGACCTCCCGGGATGTATGATACATCAGCCACTCTAAATGGCGATACTCCATGAGCAACTTCGCTCGTGATGTCAATTACGTTGATATGAGAGTCCTCAGGTATTAAGACAGTGTTCTCCATGACGTTATTGGCAGTCGATGGGTGGCCTAGGGTTGTGTGATGAATAACTTCGGGGCGTGACAACTAGGTCCAGCTCCAGGAACGTATCGATAGGTCACCAAAGGACGAGTGGGAGGCATGTTGGCAAGGGCGAGGACGTTTAGAGTGACGTGCTCCACCGTCCGGTATCCAGGTAGATGGGCCCAACGGCGCCCATCGATGTAGGGCAGCAGCGGCCGGAGTTGTTACATTGCATGATTTACCTGGTATGCCTCTCCAATTATGGCAGGGCTGATATGGCACGAGCTGGCGGAACGAGATCTGGAACTTGGTGTAATTCTATCGTCATGAGCACGTGAACGACTGTGGGCCCGACTAAACGCTTGCTTGGGCTACCCTTCTGGTACGCGGCCACCGGATGGGTGCATGCGAGAGGTGGAGGCCGAAGGAACGACCAGCCAAAGAACTCGTACTAACGCTTTTTTCTCTTAGAAGGCACGCCAGGGCCGCCAGTTCTATCCAGAGCAATTGTGTGGACTGATAGCATTGATGCTGATTAGGAGAAAGATGGAACGCCTGCCATCTGCACAGACCAGGAGGCGTCCGAATTTTCCTCGTGACCGTGTGCATTGGCCGGATTATCCAACGAGCCTCGTTACCAGCACGTGTGGAATGGATGACGAACGTTGAACGGTGCCAGTCTTCAAAGAAATAGACGAGGAGTCTGAGTACGATGTTTGATAGGGCCCACATAGCTCTGCC